AAAATTACTTTTAAAACCCTAATTTCAAACCCTAATTTCCTTTTAATTCCTCTTAACAAGCAAAAAAAAAAAACTCACAAGCATAATTTCAAAATTCTAATTTCTGATTTCAAATTTCAAAATATAGACATTTTGATTCACAAGCATAATTTCAAAATTCCAATTTCTGATTTCAAATTTCAAAATATAAACATTTCATAATTTCAATTCTCAATTCTCAATTCTCAATTATATGAATTTCATAATATGACATTAATATATTTATGATTTATGAATTTATGAATTTCATAATTCCAATTTTCAATTCTCAATTCTCATATTTATGATTTATTTAAAAAATTCAAAAAATTAAAAAAATTTCAAACCTAATTTATGATTCAAAAGCATAAAAATTCACAAGCATTAGAACCCTTAATAATGTGAAGCCTAAAATGTCATCCTAAAAGGATGTGTGAACAATCTGATATCGAGAAACAATTATCATTAGAGCCCTAATTTCATAACCACACTGATAAAGCGTAAAAAATCCAAACCCAAATATTCAATTCACAAGCAACATCCAAAAATTCAAAAGCATAAAAAATTCCACAAATTCAAAAGCATTCACATTTCTGATTTCTCATTTCCAAACCTTGATTTCTGATTTCAAAAAATTCCAAACCCTAATTTCATAACCACACTGATAAAACCCTAACACATTTAATAATTCACATATAAAACCCTAACATTCACAGCAAATTAAAACACATTCACATTTTCACAAACACAAAAAATAAATACATAAAATTAGGGTTAACTGTCATACCACGGAGAGAGAGAGAGAGAGCAAAGAGCAGAGATCAGGGTGAGAGCAGAGAGCAGAGGAAGAGCGATAGTGAGCCGAAGCAGAGCGAGATCGAGTGAGTCTGAGAGCAGAGGGAGATGGAGAGTGAGAGATGAAGAGTGAGAGATGGAGAGTCTGTAGATCGAGCAGAGACGAAAAACCTAAGTGTGAAAAACATGAATGCAAATGACGGGGTTCGTCTTTTATAGCAATGTGAAAAACGCTTTTTCAATTAGCGTTTTCATTTAGCTACAGTGAAGTCGCCATTAGAAATAGCGTTTTATTCACAAAGGTGATGCACAGTAAAGTCGCTATTCTGAATAGCGTTTTCTCAAGAATGAAGTGCTATTCATAATAGCGTTTTATAATTCAGGTTTAAAATCGCTATTCAGAACAGCGTTTTCGTAATTAAAATCGCAATTCACAATAGGACATTAACTATTTGTACGGGGAGCAAATATTCCGGCGTGCCCGTATTCCTTTCTTCCGAGTTCCGTCGATATCCGATCACCTGCGAGCAAATAACGGTGAGCTACCCGGCGGTGTGTGGCCGGAAACACCCTCCGACGGTCAAATTAGCGCACACCTTAGAGGGAATAGAGAGAAGGGAGAGAGTATTTGAGTGTAAGGATTTTCTTACAGAGATGTTCGTGTGTCGCGTATGGGGGGCGCAGACATGCTTATATACCTTCTGAGTCCCATATCTACTCCCTGTCATCTCCTGACACGTGGCTCTGCTATCCCATCTGTCAGCATAAACCATGCCATTCATCACCTGCTCTCAACTGCCTGTCAGCACAGCTGGAGCTCGGCAGCCGAGCTGCCCTACCTCGGTCGTACCATGCTTCATACCTTAAGCGCCTAACCGGATAAACAAACGGTGGACCGGGCTAAGCGGCATCCCGGTCGAGCCTAGCCCGGATGCTTACTTTGATCGGCCTTCTCGCCGGTCAATCAACTACCTCGGCTGACCGCGCCTTTCCGAGCGCCGGTCTCTCGGTCTGTCTGGTTTCGACCATCCTCGGACCAAGCATCCTGGTCTGACCGGTCACTTCCCGACCGAGCAACTTCTGCACGGTCCGGGGCGGCACACAGTCCAAACCTTGCCCGGCCCAAGTTCTGGTAGCCCATCTCCGGGTGAACAGTTTATCATCTCGGCCCAATGCACTGCTGAGCCCTCAGCTTGCCCGGTCGATACCCCGGCCCAACACCGGATCGTAAATCACCCTCTCACTATTCATCAAATTTTGGCCTCCAAACAGTTAAAGCGCGATTTGTAATAGTGCTTTAGCTTAATTTGAGAATTCCGTCAAAACTATGCCTAGTTTGAGAAATAGGAGGCAAAAGAGGCTTAGTTTGGGAAAAAGCCCGCAGTTTCATGTCCACTGCATCTGTGATTTTCTGTTGTTAACTAATAAAACCACGTGGTATTATGTCATAGTGTAATGGACTTAATGGAAAGTTTTAAATAATGACAGGTGAGGATCACTTAACCCCACCCCACCTCATTTGGGACTTTCAATTGGTTGATAGATAGTACCATAAAAATAGTATTACCGTGCACATAATTTTTTCATGTTTACCACGTAATCATCCTTCTCAATTCTTCATATTTCTTTTATTTGTTCTCAATAAGAAACAGAAAATGTAGCGAGGAGGGATGCAGGTGATCGGAAAGTGTGGGGGAGGGGTGGCAAACAATAAGAGTGTGAGAGAAAAAGGAGACAAAAATTATGTAGGGGTATTTTAGTAAATTCAGTGTAGATTCCACCCCTTTGTAATTTTTATTTTTATTTTTATTTTTTTATACTTTTTCCACATTCTAACTAATTAAAATAATTCTTTATTGGTTTGTAATATTTTATCCAACATGTTTTTCTTTTTCTTTTTCTTTTTCTTTTTCTTTTTTATCCAACATTTCTTTCCTGTTTTTGAGATATTATTATGTCCACCTTGACAAATAGCTTACAGACCTGTGGTAATGATCCACTAACAAACACGCGCACTACAATTTGAATAATAACTAATAACTGATGTTCGCTAATAAAAAGGAAAAAAATTTTCTTGAATCATAAAATTACCTAATATAAATATATTTTTGTAAAGCAAGCCATATTCTTGTTTATTTATTTTTCTAACACCGTTTGCTTGTTCACGTTTTATATGGATCATACAACATGGATGGTAGGTATGCTTGCTGGCAAGATGATAGCATTGTCCCCAACCCAACAATCTACCCGAGGGATTCGATGGCTTTGCTTTCAAGTTGCAGTTTTGTAACAAAGTTGAAAAGGCTAATGTCAACGATGCTTTGTTGCTGAATTCACTCACGGTTTTGTGTCTCCTATGCTATTCAATGCTCTATTTAATTGCTATAATTTATGATTTATCACCAGGAAATTGATTAGGTTATGATCAGTTTATTGCTAACAGAGAGAACGTTGATGAGAAGTAGTTGTGAACACACTATTATATAATACATTGATATCTACCGAAACAAGCATGATGGGGGAAAATGTTACTTGCTTCTCTCCATCGTACTCCTTACACGTTGCAAAACACGAACAAACTCATAAAACAATGAGAAGTCTAAATCTCCGACGCTGTCACCATCTGCAGCCATTGTAGGAATTTTTGAAGAGTAAGTGTACGGGTTCTGACAAATGATAAAGTCAAAACCGCCGAACTGCTTAATTAGACTCTCAAGCTTGTTACTTGCTAGCCTTTGAATGCCCTCAATCTGCACCAACTCCCCAGTTTGTCCCGTACTCTGCCACCACTTCTTGAGAATCTTCCGCTTTCTTTCACAAGGCTCTATTGACACCACCCCTTTTAAGCGAATCCCAAGACGGTGCAGAGAAATTTCTGCACCGCCAATTCCACTGTAAATTGATAGTACAGTAAGTCCTCCTGGGTACAAAGATTTTAACACGGATAAATGGTACCCCAACGTGTCTATCTGGAAGGAATGTTTGAGTGATTGAAGTCTTTCCTTTAGGCTAAGCTCAGAATCACGAGTATGATTCAACGGGTAACCCAGAATTCGCTCTAGATGTTCTGGTTCTACAGGGCCTAGTTTGTGACGACCAACCCACACTAGGTTTAATGCCCTGCACTGATGGAGGAGATCTCTCTGCTTTTCTGCTGAAAGTATTCCTTTGGAATCTGTCAATATCTTTCCAAGCCTATCGCATAATTCTGAGACTCCATTAATTTCAAAACTGATGCAGCTCAACTGCTTCCTAGGATCCCACAACGGCCACCATTTCTTCGTATGCGGTATTGCTGCTTCTATTGTCATTGGCGGCTTTGGAGTAATATGAAACCTGTTCTGGGAAGGAAGATTGTGTATGTAGCCTTCCTTCCTACTCAAGGCCGAGAAGAACTGACTGTTTACAAATTCCGGCTCGATTGCATACAAGAACTGTGATATTTTGACCCAACAGTCTTGAGATAAATTCATCACATTTCCATAAAAGAAATACGGAGCTTTAGCTACCATTTTATCAACACTCTGGCATGACTTGGGTTTGGACAGTGTGGGCATTCCTAAACCATCAATCCGTCTAGGCTTATTACCAAGCTGTCCTTGAGGTACAGGCGCCCGCTCTTGTTTTGGTCTTTTCAAACTGCTTAACTCCAAATATTCTTCTCTTGGCCTTTTTCCTTTATGCTTCTCTAAGTCAAGATCCTTATACCTAGAAACAGCTATTCGGCTAAACTCCTTGGTTTTCAGTGTCAATGGATCTAAAGAATTGTTACTTGGATCATCTTCCACCCCCCTAGCCCAAGACCTATAATTAATTCCAGTATTTGAAAATTTCTTGTTGAAAGAGGTCAAGGGATGCTGCAAGAAACCAAAAAAAAAGTTCCAGATGTCATAAACCAACCGATAGAAACACTGTAGTAGTAAGCAAGAACAAAAACCAGCATGCAATAAAACTTTCCCACATTGCCTGAGCACAAAGTAATGTGCAGTATGTAAGTGTGAGGGCAGTCTCACCTCAACAACTAGTTTTTGGGGTTGAGTTCGACACAAAACCGTGTAACATAGTTTCATAGCCAGAGTACTTAGGAATGGGTAGGGTGTGTGTCGCTACTTGTGAGGGAGGGTGTGAAGTGAAGTCCCACATCACCTCATTACAAAGGTAATGTGCAGTATATAATGCACCCTCACTCACTTCAATAACTAGCTTTTGGGGTTAAGTGTGCGTGTCTCTGGCCTGCAGTGTGAGGGCACCCTTAGTTCAATAACTAGTTTTTAGGGCTGAGTTTTACCCAAGACCGTGTAACACACACAAGACCAGAAAAGCTCAGATACAAAGGCAACAAAAACACCAGGAAATAAAGAACTACCCAAACTGCAGGTTTAAATATTATCTCAAATCTTGCAAGCAAATGCTTTTTTTGAAGATCAATGCGGTCAAATTGATCAAATGGAGCTTCAATAGAAAGTTTCAAAACCTAAGCACAAACATCAAAGCAGCTGGCCTATAGTTGCAAGATCTGTTACGTCAACTTATATTTTTGTCAATTGTTCTGAGCATTGTAAACAGAAAATGAACAGCAGTATGGTTTATACAAAACAAATGAGAATGTTAGTAAAACAAAACATGACTGGTCATACAAAAGGACACTAACCTTGTTTTTGACATTGCAAGCACCACCAATTTCATCTGCACAAATTGAGTTGGCAAGCTTGGAAATGGGAACTTCAGAACCTGAAAGACAGCAAAAATGGCTAATAACTAGAAAAATTGGCAGCAAATGGTCTGCATGCCTGACCTAGAACAATGATGAAATGACTGGTGTGGGTACTTGCATCAAGCCCAATACGCGTCAAGCCCTACGGGTGCCACATCACCAAAACCCCACCCACGTGGCAGACCAATAAGGCACCAAGTGGGCATGTCATATGTTTGATACATGGCAAGCCCTACGGGTGCTGTGTACCAAGGCACCACGCAAAACCAAGCCTATATGCTTAGCCTAAGCGGGAGCATACATATAAGCCTAAATATATCTAAATATGAAGAGCCCTGCAACAGGCAGTACCATGGCCCCTCAGGGCCCATGGTCCTTCATAGCTCGCTCCAAGACCAAACAACAACGTAATCAGCCCCGGTTCACTTGGACTTAGATTGATAAACACTGGCTCTCCTAAACATTGAGATAGGCCTGCGGCCCATTCTCCTACTTGGTCGCTTGGAAGCGAGCCCCTAGCTCTCCTAAACACTGAGGTGGGCCTTGGCCCATTCACCTACTTGGATGCCTGGGTTGGGAGCAAGGCCCATGCACCACTGCTCGGGATCATCAGAGCATATTGGACTGGCGGCTGAGGTCATGGGATCGTCAAGATGGTTGTCTTCTTGCTAAGACTACTCCATCTCGACCAGGCTTGGGGAAGAGGCAACAACGACCTTACATTCATGTCATCCAATGCATATACAAAACGTTACTTTCCGCCTGCCATGAAACGTTGCTCTCCGCCTGCCATCAAGCCACAGACGGCAGAAGGGCTTATATCACTTCTGGCAGAGTTGAGGAGAACGAGCCACCTGTCCAACAGTTTTCTTAGGCTTCAATACTCCTGTGGCTTATATAACGTATCGTAATATGCAGCAAGCACAAACACAACAACACACTCATAATTCTAACACACAGTCCACACTTAAACATCCCCTCTCACACTTTACATCAGTGTTCAAGGTCCATCATCTGCCAACCTCTCCCTCTCCAAGCTTGCCTTTGACCTCCTCCTCTCCACCTCCTGTGATCTTAGGCCATTGAAGTGCCCGCCATCTTCCTAGACTACCTCTAACCAACACCTCTCACCCACAACTGGATAGAAAATTTCACAAATTCTTCAAGAAACAAAATAAAGTAAGGAATGCTGTAGATTCAGAAGGGAATTTAAAACTCTCATTTGCATCACTAACTAAAAATGGTTCAATGGTCATTTATGCAACATCCATTTCAGTAGGTTTAAGATCATTGAAACATCCACTTAAGTAGGGTTTAAAAAATGGAACTGAAAGGATAAATAAATAATGAAAACAGAGAAGCTCGAAGAAACAAAGAGGAAGAAAAGAAAAATTAAATGGACATAAATTTGCTTTATTTCCTTACCAAAGTATTAAAAATAGCACATAAGGCCGATGGAACATTGATGTATATTCAATATTAGTGCAATAATTACCCACCATACTTCTCAATAGCTGCAGAAATTTGATTCTCTGAGAATCCATTTCAAGCAAACGAAGTGTCTTGTCCGTAATCAACTTAGGAAGCTTCCTGTAGAATTTAGATGGATTAGCTAACCATAGGCCATATGACATTCAAGACTAAGCTAATTAATCCAGGAAAACATAGAAACGAATTAATGCACAGTTAAACTTGCTAACTTGATGCTCAACTTCGTGAAGTTAAAACTATACCCATCCACCTAGCCCTAGATGTAAAGCCAAGTACATTTATTTTTTTTTTTTGTTGCCGATCATTCAAAAAAAGAAAAAAAAAAAGAAAAAAAAAATAGTCAAGTACTTTTTGATCTAATCATCCTCTAAGTTCATAAGAAACATATGGCCTCCGTTTGGGAAGTGGGTTGACTTTTTGGCTTTTTTGCTTTTTGACTATTTTAGCCTGGGCTAAAAAGTTTGGTTTGGGAAGGGCTTTTTGGCTTTTTGGATTTTTTGTGAGAAAAGAGTGTAATGATTATGGGTTGAATGTGATGTTTTGTTTCATTGTAGCTAAAAT